ATCCAGCTTGTTTTGCTGCGTCACGATGAGAGTGGCGGGGTGATGCGGCGAACTATAAAAATGTGTCAGTGCTCGCTTCTTGTCAGGGCGCTCTCGTACTTGAGCACGCATGTTCTGCTGGAGGCCTCACTTGAGAGAAAGAATGAGGAGAAAAACTTTGCCATGAAGGGAAACTTGTGCTGTGATGGCGAAAGCTACATTCCAACGGAGGAGTTGTACAGACTCATGGTGGCTCATGGGGCCGCCTCCGCCCTTACAGACACCAACGCGGAAATGCGGGAATTGTACGAACAAGAGCTTGCGTGGCGTAGGGCCAGAGCAGTAATTCATAATTATCGTCAACGTCAATGCGAGGGCAAAGCGGAAAGGAGCAAAGAGGATGAAGAGGCCCAAGTTCGTCTGTCAGAGCAGGTACCACCACCGCGTCGATTTTTGAGGGCCCTTCCAACGGCTCTGGTGGCTGTGGTGGAAACCGACGATGCTGTGAAAAAGGCCCCACAAAAGTCTGCTATTCCATGCGACGGCATTTTACATTTAGTGGAAAGTGATGGCATGCTCTTTATTGCGTCTCGTCGAAATGACAGTTACGTTGTGCCACCAACGCCAATTCGTGTTGTGGGGTGCATCTCGTTGCTTCCTGCCATGTGCCGCGGCACACTATGGTTACGTGGGTATGGAAGCGACAGCGGTGGCGGACGAAGAGGAAGATGCCTACATTGAGAGCCTTCCACTGTCACAACGTCCGCCCGTACTATGCGCCTGTCACTTTTGTGAGGCTGCCATCTCTGAAAAGGCCTTTGGTCGGGGGTTAATTGAGGGTTTGGGTTACTACGCCTTGCATTTCAGAATGGCGGGGATGGAAGATCTTGTTGCACGCCCAGTTTGGCACTTGGGGCTTGCGTCCCATGTCTCACTCCTCCACTTTATCGCCGAAATACGACAAGTGGTGTCGATGACGGCGTTTCCGGCAGGTGTGCGGGTGAGCGTTCGCGGGAACCGGTTACTTATCCGAATGCAGGAGAAGTCTCTTCGTGCTGTGTGTCAATTACTGTGCGCGTGCACCGGAAACTTTGCCCCACGGCCGTGGGATCGGCATGTGTGGAAGCAGAATGTACTTGACACCGCCCTATACGACTACGGCGGGTGCATTGGTGTTCATCAAGCAACGGGGAAATTGTGTGTTCCAAAACGTATTCACGATGTTGTCTCGCACCAGATAGGGGAAGGGGGTGACGACGCACGTGGCGAATCGAGGTTATTGGTGTTTACAGTCGTTAACCCCTGGCAAGGTGTGAAGTCTCCTTCCGTCTTGGTGAGAAGGAAAGAAACCCCTGACGAAGAAGATGACGTATTGACTGAGGTTTTTAATGACGGAGATCTTCTCGTGCACGATCAGGTGCGCCGTCGATGGATACGTCTGACGCAGCCGAACTTGTGCTTGGAGACGGTGCTGCTTTGCTGGGTGAAGACGCTTCTTGCGGCAGCCACGCTTTGGCACAACGACGGGGGATGGCTCCGAAATGTCGAGGGTTGCATTGTGCAGGAAGGACGTTTTCACATCTGGGGCACGGTGCATGATGGTTTGCCGTACTTTTTTGGGGTTATCCCAAAATTTGCAAAGGAGCGCCGCCGAAGGATGCTGAGACAGGCTCGTGAGAAATTCCTATGGGACGGGGCGTCACGGCACTGTCGAGGAGAAAAGGTGGGGGACCAAGGCGCTGCGATGCCTGCGCAGGACCAGGCCCGACGCCACTGTGCACACACCCCTTCAACACACTGTAAGAGGCACGGTGACGCGGCAAATTATTTCTGTAATGGATATTTTACGTGGAACCCATATGGCGGCTTCAGTTAGAAGGGTTCTTTATCGCCATGAATGTTTTGTTTGTTTGAGGGGGTTACATTTTTAGTTCTTTGTTTTTGTGAGCAACTTTAATTGTGTTTCATCAGGGATTGTTTAAAGTGGCATGCTTTTTTTTGGGCCACCGCTGGTGGCGTTCATCGTGTTGTTGGTGGTTTCCACGAATAAACGGAAGAACGTCTTGCGTCACTTCCTTTTTTTTGTTTCTCCACCAACCGAAACAACCACTATTCAAACAAGACAGAAGCATTTACGGAGAGTATGTCACTGCATGCACATGAATGACGCGTGTCAGTTGTGCCATTGGTAATATGCACTCATCGAATACCCCGCTTATTATTGTTGTCTCGGATTCTGCAGGGAATTGGTTGCAGTGCGTTGTTATCTACGCCCTCGCCCCGTCAAATTGAAATTGTTGTTGACCGGTGGTGAATTCCATCATTCAAGGCAGACCCTTACTTCTTTCTTTTCCTCACGTGTGGTTTACGTGTAAGTTGTTTCTGTACATTAAAAGAGAGAGAGAGAGAAGTATGACCAGGAATGTTTGCAACTTATTTCACGTGGCGGAGGTCACTCAGCCACTCTACGCATTGCATTGAAGGGGAACGCGTTTGCTGAACCGCCCGCAACGCTTCTGCAATGATGTTGCAGTGTCTTTCGCTGCTGCTGCGGTGGAGCTCCATCTCTGTCACTGACGTGGGGCTTCCTGACCTGTCGCAGGATCTTTCTTTGGCAATGGTGAGCAGCCTGTGATGCTCAGAGGTGTGCACATTGGTGGGGTGAATGAGATGTTCAACCTCTCGTCGTAGTCACTGGAGACAAGAAACGCCTCTACGACACACAGCACTGTCAAAGCGAAGGTGATTTTTTTCTTCTCTTTCACAGTCCCGGTGGGTGTGCAGCTGCATCCCAGCCGCGCTGCCCTCCGGAAGTCCGTGTACGATGCGTGTTACAGCACTGGCATCGTTGTGGAGCAGTGCGACATCAATTTGACGCTGGAGAGCATGCAGCTTAAGCCAGCAAGCCCCTTTCTTGATCGAGCAATTCTCGGGTTGAAGGACGCGATCGTCCCACAGTTTTCTGATATGGTTTGCAGTACAGGTCTTCCTTACATCGCATCAGGACTGCAGGACTGCATGCTGAACCCTACTACACTCCACCCAATTTTTCTTGACGGTGCCACACCACTGGATAAATTGAAGCGTTTTCGTACACTCGTGAACGTTGTTTACAGTGTCTCCTCTTTGTTTGGCGTCAAGGTTGCTGCCTCCTCGCTTGCTGGGACGACGCTGCACGTGGATATGGCGTTCTCCGGCGACCTCCATCTCAAACTGGGTGAATTCGCTGAACTGGAAAGAGCCTTGGATAGGTTGGGTGCTGCGCTCAGGGTAATAGAGTTGGAGAACACTGCGGATTTCCTGAAGCAGCTACTGTGGATTGCCAAGGAGGGTTGGATGGTGTGGGACGTCTCTCATTTCTTCAACACGTCCTTTGAGGTTGTGTTCCACGACCTCCAGTGCACCGAAGAGGGACTAGACTGCACTGTGCTACGTGTGGGGGACATTAGGGTGCAAAATATTGGACCGGAGAACCTCGGTGAGTGGGACAAGATTATCACGAATATTGTGAGTTCATTTGTTTCTTCGCTGCTCGATAAGGCGCTGGATGAATATTTACAATCCGACAGCACAACCGGTCCACGCTTCGGCGTTCCAGTGTTACTGGAAGGGGCCGTCAAACAGCTGCCACCAATCCTGTATGCGGTGCTTTTCGGGGGCCGTGGTTGTCGCTCTTCTAGTGGGAACTGCCCTTTTGAGGGTTTGTCGGTACCGCCACGGGGAGACTGTAATAACCAACAATGGCCTTGTGATTCCGCTGAGCCGTGCACCGGCGGAGGATTCGTTTTTGATACTGCTAGTAATTCTGATAACGATTGGCTTTACCTGGTGTATTCTGACCACAATTGTCTCCGTCCTGGTTTCAGGCAAAGTACACTACATGAACTTTGCATTGTTTGACACCATTTCGAAAACGTACAACACAGGGTTGAGGATCTTTGCTGTGTTCATGTTCACCTTCAGTGCGGTATACCCATACCTTAAGCTGGTGGTTATCAGGGTGTGTACGATGATCCTACAAAGGCGAGAAATGATGCTTCTTTGTATCATTAACTACTCCGGGAGGTTTGCGCTGCTTAATGTATGCTCCTTTGTCGACCCTGTCGATGGTGCTGCAAACTGAAGGAGTTTCCGATGTGAAGTTTCATTGTGGGTTTTATGTATTCCTTTCAACAATGTCTATTTCCCGTATTGTGAGAAGTTATGCCACACAATTCTGACGCCGCAACACGTTTCTGTGTCAGCGTGGTAAGTCACCCGAGCACGAGATGTTCGTTTCACGGGAATGTGAAGCCGAACCCACATACGCTGACACTGACGTCTGCAACCTCGATGTGTGCAAGCATCATGGGTGGACTCGGAGACACCTGTTGGTTGCGGTCTCAACTGGCATCTTTGCCGCCGCGTGTATCATCCCTGCGTGGATATGCCCCAGCATATGGGGTACCGGGTGCACTGGGTGGTGTCTATCTTTAAGGAGGAGCTGAAGGAGGTGTCCTTGTTGCAACTTGATACCTTCAATTTCTTTGTGGTCGTTGTTTGCTTCCTTAATGTTGGCCTTGTCCCCGCTTGTGCACACCATCATGTTCCCACAGTGAATGTTACTGGCGATGTGGAGCGCGATTGGCGTGTTTCTTGTGGCGTGTGTAGCCGGATTTGTGCAGCTTCGGTCTGACGATGCGCCAACCGCCCGAAACAAACTGAGCGCGTTTATGAGCACGACGCTACATCTGTACTGGCCGCTTATCCTGCTGCCGGTTTGCACCGTGTGGCTTTGGTTTCTGGCCGCCGAGAACACCCTCCAGTTGTACCGGGGTTTGAGGGTGTGCGTGGCGGGGCGCAAACCTCAGGACGGCAACTTAACTTTTCCTAGCAATGAAAGCCACTCTGCAGTAAGGGGCCACAGCACGACTTTTGCCCCGCTCTCTCGTGAGATGTTTTTTTTTAATTATTATTTCCAGTGTCCGTAACAATTTACGGACAACGTTTGTGTTTTGTGTTTATTACATGAATGTAGTTTAATATATATGCGGCGGGTGTGAGCGCCTCGGTGTCGAAGCCCCGCGCAGGGGAGGAGGGTACGCCCACGCCGTGGATGTGGAGTTGGAATTTATGCAAGCTTGAGCTGGGGTTAGTGGAGCACCTTGCGGGACAAAGAGACGAGGTTGAAAACGACGAAAGAGGGGCAAGACGTAATGGCCCCACGAAGAAGCTTCGTTTTGTTTTTCTTTTATTTACTTGTATGTTTTGTGTCGGCGGATTTCATTCCCGTGTCAGGCTCACAGGCCCAGACACGTGGCAGCGGTATCGGCGCGCGGGAAGGGGAGCGGGCGTGGCGGCGGTGGTAGGAGTGGTTGAAGACGTGTGAGGGGGCAACTACTCTCATTCTGCTGTGGGGGGCATTTTTCTGCCAAAAACGCGGGGGCGGCTGGGACCCATGGCACCTATGACGGCTCTCTGGACTGCGCAGCGTGCTCGCCGACTGTTTTTTTTTTGAGAAGGGAAATGTATGTACAGTGGGCGCCCAACGCGGCTTGCGCTGCAGACGGTTTAAGCTAGCAAGTTG